CAATGAATATGATGAAATTGTCAATTTATCTAGAAAACTGTTATGCATGTGGAGTAGTACATACTGTTGTAAACAATTCTTTTCGTGCATGAAAAACATCGAAACTGCTGAAAGAAATAGGTTGAGTGATTCCCAATTAACTAACATTCTTACAATTAAGACTAATACAGTCGACCCCCCTATAATTACGGTCCCTATAATTACGATTCCTATAAAACTACGAAAAATATACGTATTTTGGAAATGTTGAGTCGGATTAGTGTAGAATCGATTAATTTTATGGAAGAAAACCTTTCAATCAGCCGTAGTCCGTATTGACACGTGTCGGGCTGTGATTGGAACGACTTGTAAGAAATCGGATTCCTAATAAATTGGAACGTATCTATATCTTATAGGGGGGTCGACTTGTACCATAAAAACAGACATTAACAATATAAATAGAAGGCAATGTCAAAAATAGCATTGAATTTATTTTTATTTTGTGTGAGTATAATTTCGTTTTTTACTGTAAATAATACAGTACTACGTTTTGTAATTATATATATTTGTTATTAAAATTTGATATTCACATTTGAACTTTTTAAAAGTATATACTTATATAAAGTATCTCTGTGGTCCGCTGAATATACCTAAATTTCTAATTTGGTCCATTAGGAAAAAAGGTTGAACAACCCTGGTCTAACGCATAGTTTAACACATCTAGAATGAAGTTTCTAATTCGTCATAAATGAAAAAATAAATCATTTTCAAGAGGGATGTTTAGTCACTTAATAGATCTCATTATATTTAGTATATTTCAGAACGTAACTCGCTCCCTAGTCCTTATCATGTATAAGCATTTATCTATAAAATTCGGACACCTCAATTTAACAAAAATTCAATTTTATTAATAGATTATAGAACACCACTCAAGTAAATTACAATAAGGTAGATAAAAGGAGGTTACTAAACATGAAGTTAATTCTTTTTCCGGATCGAAGGATCATCATAAAATCGAAATTTTTATTTATCTTTATACCGACACGAAACACAAGTATATTACATTTTCGAATACATAGCGACTACTGTTAACATGAATGTATATGCAGGGAATGTTTCGCGATAATCCGTCTCTTCAGCAACAAAGCAAAGAGTCGGAAAAATCACGAAATTCGCTGAAAAATACAAACTTTTAATATTTAATTTCGTGGCGACGTAACAATAAAACTCTGACAATTTGTTGCGAACGGTTGGATTTTTAGTTCGTGTGATTAAAAGTAAATCATTTCAAGCGTTTTTCTGTGTTTGCACCGATTTTATCGATAAGTTCAGACCAAGAACTTTCTAAATTTAGGTATTTTTAAACATTGTTAGGCGGATATCACAATTACTGGCAATGATTTTCTGACAAAGCTCCATTTAGATAATGATTGAGCGGTTTCGTCACAGAGACGACGAATGCGGTCTTTCCACTTATTTTGGGAAATACTTTTCACCTTTTTTTATTGTTAATTTTCCAATCGAATTGTTAAAGCAAAATGGGCATTAGGCTAATAAATACATCAAATTGTTATTTCCTGTTATGTTTTATATACACATTATATCTCATATGAAATTCACACCGCTATACTCTAAACTTTAATTAATTAAAATATCTCTATTTCACAAATATTTTGTGTTATGACAATCAACAGATTTGTATAATTTGTATAAACCAATTTTTTAAATTATATATCGAGCATTAAAAATCGTTGGAAATATTAAAATTACTATATTTAATAATTAAAGATTTTATCGTAATGTTGATTTCTGACTTTTTTATTATAATTAAAACGATCATTTTCTACAATCTTCTATCACAAATCTTTATTGCATTTTAAAATATATATATTATATATTTCTTACAATTTAGATGAAATTAAGACAATGGGAATATGTTTTTAATTAATGCAAGTTATATTTTTACAACAGTCGCTTCTTTTTCATTGCAGAATGGATAATTTCAAAGACTTAAGAAAGTGGCGAGTTCGGAAGATAATAACCAGGAGGAAAGCGCCTCGTCCTCCTCCTCTTCCACTTCCCTTCGAGTGATTCGGGTGCTTCCGAACATGTTGAGCGGAAGTCGCTTACACCCGACAAGAAACGAGCGGTTGTCATATCTCCGAACGAAAATACCTCGTCTCTTGTCAAGTACCTGAGATGACGATACCGGAAGTGGCGTAATGGATTATAGAGAGGCGGTCGCGCGAAGTAGAACTCGACGGACAGGAGTCGAAAAAATCCTGAAAAAATCCGCCAAGAGTAAAAAGCTTTGGTAAAAGGATTTTCTTTTCTTGCAAGAAATAAACCTTTTCTCCGCCGAGGTTATCTTTCACCGAAGTCGACTTTGCCAGCCGAAATGATCTTTCACTACGACTTAATGAAGTGGACTCGGTTTTTCATCCGGCTTGGTTTCTTTCCTTTATGGACAGACACTTCGGCGCCATCCGAGGACTTCCACTTCGATAAAATTAGAGTGCATAGAACAACGACGGTGTGATGTCTATCGTCGCAAAGTGACGACGAAAACACAAGGCAGTGCTTCTCGAATTTAAAGATTGTTATTTAAACGACTATAACAGGTCAAGGCGTTACAGTCTTGGCCTGTTATATGCTCAGATATTATACAGTCATTTACACTGTATTTAAACCGTGTGCAACNATTTATATATAATACTAAACAGACGATAGCAAACTCAATTTAGCCGCTCCGTAGCGTGGCGCAGGGTCGGAGGAAAGTAGTTCGGCTGCTCATCCACTATTGGTCCAGACTCTATCAATCTTGTCGCGAAACGACGTTATGGGAGGTATGTTTTACGAGAGTTTGTACAATTTTTTCGTTACGTTATAGGAATTGTCGTTATTAGAACGTACGTTATAGGGGGGTCGACTGTACCTGAGATGACGATACCGGAAGTGGCGTAATGGATTATAGAGAGGCGGTCGCGCGAAGTAGAACTCGACGGACAGGAGTCGAAAAAATCCTGAAAAAATCCGCCAAGAGTAAAAAGCTTTGGTAAAAGGATTTTCTTTTCTTGCAAGAAATAAACCTTTTCTCCGCCGAGGTTATCTTTCACCGAAGTCGACTTTGCCAGCCGAAATGATCTTTCACTACGACTTAATGAAGTGGACTCGGTTTTTCATCCGGCTTGGTTTCTTTCCTTTACGGACAGACACTTCGGCGCCATCCGAGGACTTCCACTTCGATAAAATTAGAGTGCATAGAACAACGACGGTGTGATGTCTATCGTCGCAAAGTGACGACGAAAACACAAGGCAGTGCTTCTCGAATTTAAAGATTGTTATTTAAACGACTATAACAGGTCAAGGCGTTACAGTCTTGGCCTGTTATATGCTCAGATATTATACAGTCATTTACACTGTATTTAAACCGTGTGCAACTATTAAAAAATTTCACGACAAATGGTGGAAAGTGACCACTCGCATGCACTACAAGTCGACGTTAAACTTAAATAAAATAATCAAAGAAAACACATTATAGTCAGTATATGTGCAAACCTGAATAATAGTTATTTCAACAATTAAATTTGTAAATAGGATTGTCTTAATTGTAAATAAATTTTTATATTTATTAATAATAAAACTTAATATGAAATTTAATAACTGTTTGAAGATTCGATATTTATCAAGTCCGTCGAGGTGGCAGTCTACCACTCTTAGGCACCTGAGATTGACTCCAGACGGGTCGAAAAATCTTTAGGAATTTTTCGGGAAGTGATCCGTTCGGATATGGGGCCCCGTCCCTCACCACCCGGCCGCCCCATTGTGAACCTGACCCCACAGAGCGAAAATAATTGTAATTAAAACCTCTATTGGATGTTATGATGCGAAATGTGTAGTTGAGACACATTCGTTTACTCCATTAATTAACATATTAAGGAAATTTCTATTGTTTCGTTACAATTACAAAGTAGTGCGTTTAATAAAAAGCATAGCGTGATGCTTTTTTTCCCGTAACTTTCAAATATTATATCAAAATATAAATAAAAAAATCTGATAAGTTAATAATATAATTTAAAAATTTATCGTTACTACAGTATTTAAAAAAAAATAAAAACTATATGGCTTCATTTTAAAGATAAAAGTAGAATTATATGGTGGCGTTGCCATCGATTTGTTTACAGGACATGTGGTGTAGGAGGAAAGCTTGATAGTTGTTACAGGTAAGGAATATGATTAATGACTGTGATTGTTTGAAAAACGATTTCATATACAGTGGTACCTCAGGATACGAAATTAATCCGTTCCGAAACTAAGATCGTATCATGAAAATGTCGTAAGGTGGATCATCTTTTCCCATACGATTACATGTAAAACCAAATAATTCGTTCCAACGCGAAAAACATACTCAAATTAAAGCCAAGTAATACATTAAAAAAAATAACTGTAGTAAGAAAAACAAATGAAAAATGCGAACTAATGTAACGTCGTATGGTGAGTTTTTGTTCGTATCGTGGAGCAAAAATATGCTCGAATTTCATGTCGTATCCTGAAAATTTCGTATGCTGGGGCGTTCGTAACCTGAGGTACCACTGTAAATAACTTGTTTCTTTTTATTATTAAAATGCAATGAATGGTTAAATATTATATATATTAATTTTTATGTTAGAATATTACTGAAATTATAATGATTTAAAATCATTTTTGATGAAATAATGACACTTATGAAAAAAAGCAAAAAATTGATATTCTTATGAAATGGAGTACAATATAAATTTCCCTAACAAATTTAAATTATTTGTTAATGAAAAAATTTACATTTCAAACTTCATAATGTTAAATTAGGATTTGTATTTATTGTAAGACAACAACACACGAGGGCTGCATAGCCTGTTTTATTCTGTATTGATAAGCTTAATCTACAATTGAAATCAGACAGTTTGAGTAAGAGATGGAAAATGACATCCAACTCAAAATGCCTGTGAAATATGATGAGAGTTCTGACTGAATATGGTTGATTCAAATCTGGATCTCCCACAAAGGTAAGTGAACTTTTATCGTGAGAACACTTGACCGAAATGTTAGATCAAAAAGTACATAAAATGTAATTTAATTGGAATAATAGTTCAAAAAGATACATTACTAGAAAATTAAATAACTTTTCTTATAAATTATATAATATTTCAGAAATAATAGTGAAGAAACTATATTTTCTTGGACTGATAAATTTAAAACATTACAATTTAAGTACTGAGCTCTCTTGGCTATCTTCAGGACATAAAAGAGATCTCAAAAAGTGCTTGGATCAAAAACATTTTAACCTCTTGAAGACCATCTTCAAGGCATTTTTCTGGTGTTCCATCTAGAAAATATTGAGGATGGCCTTCAAGAGATCAAAAATGTTTTTGATTACTTAAAATATTAACTGAAAATGGTTGGCATTTTTTTAAAGCTTTATTCTGTCTGGTGTCTGTCCAGATAAAAGTTGCAATTCATCTACTTCCCAATTTTTGATCTAGTTGAAACTTTGCACACGTGTGTATTGCCAATGACAGTACATTTTTTAATAGTTTGCAAACATTTTTAACAATTAGCAAAAAATTAGTGAATAATTAAAATTTGTAAATAAAATGTGATAATGGTGGTACAACACGACTATTATTTGCTGTCTTACATGTGGAAACAAATGTGAAGACAAAGAATATGATTATCTTGCCAAATACCTAAAGTACATCTTTCATCTTTAAGAAAATATAAAAGACATTAGTCTTCACTACTATTATTAACCACCTAATCAGCAATTTTGCAGGCCATAGAAGCTGTCATGTTCAAGTTAGTATCCTATCATTAAAGTAATTGAGAGAACTAATCACTCACTACATCAAATTTAAACAACTTAAAGTTTTTTTTTTAATCAAAATCAATCTCAAGAGAACAATATACATAAAGAATTTTGATAGTTCAGTGTTAGGTACATCTATACTAATATTATAAAGAGGTAATGTTTGTATGTATGTATGTTAGTTTGTATGCAGCAGGTAATCTCCGAAACTACTCATCTGATTTCAAAAATTTTTTTACCAATATTTAGAATAGAACTTCAGGGTGGACATAGGCTGTATATTATTCCGTTAAACATGGGGGATGGACAGTTCTTTACGGTAAGCCTTACGGGGAAGGCTTACCGTAAAGAACTCTGCTTCTATTTATACTATTTTAGATGTGGTTTTTTGCATTTTTGATTGCATTTTAATAGGGTACGTCAACAGAATGTACACTATAAAGGGATTTTTTGATATTTCCCCGGGGGGAGAGGGACAGGATTAAGGCTTACTGTGAAAAACTTGGCTTCTATTATACTATTTTAGATGCGGGTTTTTGCNAATGGCTAATTCATTTATATAACTTTATCCATATACATTTAACTTTATATGAAATGTTTTAATAGACTTAACATTATAATTTAATTTGTCAAAATATGCTAAAATAATTACATTTACTTTTTATTAAATGAATTATATATATATATATATGTACAGTATTACAGTATTTCATTTTAAAATATTAGCTATGTATATATGAACAGTGTATTGGGAGAAAGATAAATACTTTTAACTGAAAAAATATATAAAATAAAAAATATACAAAAAACATTTTAAAGTAATGCTTTTTATTCAGATAAATGTACTAAAAAGTAAAAAATAAATTTTCTTTAACTTTCACATTAATTTTGGTATCATGCTTTTATTTTTGGTCATAAAATATTTCTAAACAGAAGCACCCCACACTTTTATTTTTGGTTGCGTAGTACCAAAATTATTGTGAAAGCTGAAAAAATATTTATTTTTTACTTTTTATTACATTTATCTGAATAAAAAGTGTTACTTTAAAATGTATTTTTATATAAGTAAATTAAACTTCACTTTCACACCGGGGATGAAATAATAAACACTGAACCTGTTACCGGTGTAATTTTGCGTGAAATAATCCTCTTTTGTTTGTGAAAACGTTTGTGAAAAGAGGATTATTTCACGCAAAATTACACCGGTAACAGGTTCAGTGTTTATTATTTCATCCCCGGTGTGAAAGTGAAGTTTAATTTACTTATATAAAAATACATTTTAAAGTAACACTTTTTATTCAGATAAATGTAATAAAAAGTAAAAAATAAATATTTTTTCAGCTTTCACAATAATTTTGGTACTACGCAACCAAAAATAAAAGTGTGGGGTGCTTCTGTTTAGAAATATTTTATGACCAAAAATAAAAGCATGATACCAAAATTAATGTGAAAGTTAAAGAAAATTTATTTTTTACTTTTTAGTACATTTATCTGAATAAAAAGCATTACTTTAAAATGTTTTTTGTATATTTTTTATTTTATATATTTTTTCAGTTAAAAGTATTTATCTTTCTCCCAATACACTGTTCATATATACATAGCTAATATTTTAAAATGAAATACTGTAATACTGTACATATATATATATATATAATTCATTTAATAAAAAGTAAATGTAATTATTTTAGCATATTTTGACAAATTAAATTATAATGTTAAGTCTATTAAAACATTTCATATAAAGTTAAATGTATATGGATAAAGTTATATAAATGAATTAGCCATTTATATAACTTTATATAACATATAAATTTATATTATTATATTTAATTTGCTTGTTTAGTTATGAGTGATTCTTCAGAATCTGAAACAAATTTAGAAGACATCAACATATGGAATGTTAAAAAATTTAAAAAGAATGGTAAAGAAGAAACAGATGTTAATAGTAAATTAGAAAAATGTAATGAAACTTTTCAAACTGTGAGTAGTATTCTTTAAATATAATACAATATTTTTTTAATGATGACCACTTTGTTTTTTTATAAATAATTTGTGTTCAGTTAAAACCAAACTTTACTATCGACAGGAGATTGATATGAATGAATGTATATGTGTTTTTAATATGTTGTATGTATTTTGTAATAATAATTATGATGATAATAATAATAATAATTAATTGTATATATAGGGCTATTTTTCAGCTGAAGCATGTCAGTATGCTATACAGGTAGATAGCATGAAAAAGTATTGGTAGTTTGTAGTATACTATCAGTTTTTCAGTAAAAACAATACTACTATATGAATGTTCAGTCACCATATATGTATACAAGCAGTCATTTTTTTTAAAAAAATTCACTGCATATATATATTGTTATTATTATTATAAAAATATGATAATGTATATATAAAAAAATATGTACATATATTAATTTTTTAAATTAAACAGCTTAAACTTAATTTTTACTTTACACTTTTAATTATAAATATATTTACTTATTAATTTAATATTTATTATTCAGAGATTTGATCAAATTAAACAAAAACTTGAGAAGCAAAGAGAAATAGATTTTAAATTAGAACAAAGAAGAGAAAAAAGGAAGAATGATAGACTTTTGAAAAAAATTTATCGTGATCCTCACTTAATGAAGGCAATTGATGATGAAATTAGAGAAGATACAAATGAAAAGTATGTAATTAAATATTTTTCAGAAAAAAAATATATAATTTGTTTTTATTTAACATAATTTAAAAGATAATATTAATATTGTTGTGTTTATTTGTTAACATAAAACATCTTTGATTAACATCTTGAAATATTTTATAACTAGAATGAATACATGTAATTTTGAGATGCAGAAGAATGAGTATAAGACTAAAAAAAGCTCTCCCTTGCAGAAAAATTGGCATAATCTTAAAGCAGAAATTTACCAAAAGATACAGAAAAGTTAAATAAAAACACAAAGAATTATTATAAATAATTGAGTTGTTCTGAAAACATTGATTTTTTTCAAAAACAACATATTCAAGTGGGTGAGGAAATGCTTTTTCAAGGCAAATCATTCTTAAAAATTCATTATTACAGATGATGAAACATTTATACTTTTGACACCAAAACAGCTCAACGATCAGGTGAATAGCACTGAAAAGCAAAACCAAAAAGATAACATCAAAGTCAGGTTGATTGTTTTTTCCAATTGTCGTTGTGTTCTGCATTATGAATTTCTTATGACTGGCCATATCGTCAATAAAGAATATTATTTGAACATTTGCATGAAGCAATTTGTAGAAAACAACCTGATTTGTGGCAAGAAAATTCATGGATTTTGCATCATGATAATGCATCTGCTCACAATGTTCTTGTTGGCCAAAAATTCAATAAATATGGTTCCAAAACTTTCATATTCACCTGATCTGGCACTGTGAAACTTCATTCTGTTTCCTTGACTAAAATTTCTATTTGTGGTCATTGTTTCGAATTAATTGATACCATAAACAAAATTTGCTGCGAGTCCTGAAAGGGTTTCACAAAAACAACTTTAAAGCATTTCAAGGATTGGAAAAAACATTGACATAAGTGCATTGGCATTGCAGTGGTAGGAGATTACTTTGAAAGGAACAAAATAAATTTTGACGAATAAATTCAAATTTTGCATTTTATTGAATCACTTTCAATACTTTTTGATCACAGGGTATTTATATCTGATTTAATTAATATTATTCATTTTAAACTTTTAATAAGTTCCTCACGATAAGTTGTATAGAATTATGGTAAAAAACCATGATTAACAGAGAACTTTAAAAATCTATGTTATTATAAGAAACTAGTAGAATTATTAATGAATTATTGGTCTGTTATTAATAATTTATTTTTCAAAAAATTTAAAATTTCTTTTTATCTTTTATTTTATGCTTTTTAGTAGTGTTTCACATCAAGCATCTTCACATTTAAAAAATATTTGTTCCTATCAATTAAAGTTTCTGGAATCATATAAATCTTTTAAGTTAACTTGTTATAAATTTATAACTTATTAGATAACTGGCAATGCATCTGCAGGGCAAGCTGGAGTTACAGGTTTCAGTCCCATCCTTCAATATTTTTCTTCCAGAAGTTTATATATTAAAATTAAAAATTAATTTATTTAAAATTATGGAAATCTTCAAGGTCACTCTGCTTTAATTAAAATTTGGATTATTGGATTGAATATTTATATTTAACACATTAATTTTATCTCTGGATACTAAACAATTCCATTTAGTACTGTACTATACAGTATTTGAATAAATGCTACTGCAAAAAACTTGCATTTAGTGTACATTGTACCCAATACATATTAACATCAACTTATAAACCTGAATTTTAAAGCCAAACAAATTGCCGAATTATTAGGCTACATAACTTAACCATATTAGAGCTGCCACAAACTACAGCTTTGTGAGAGCAAAACGCTAGCAAACATGTGCTAGCACACCCGATGATGTCAAAGGTCCTGCCCATTTCTTCATATCCACATGGTTATTCCTTTGCTAGTGCAGTGATATGAGTGTGTGCTTGTTGAACTCTGTCAACAGCAAGCGTACACTCACATCACTGCACTAGCAAAGGGATAACTGCTCAGCCACAAAGTTAGGGGCAGAGCCTTTGACATCATCAGATGCCGCAAGATGCTTAAGAAAAACCACAAACATGCACTAGTGCATGTTTGTGGTTGTTCTTAAGGCCTGATAATTCAGCAGTTTGTTTGGAATTGTACTCAGTATTTTAATACTTAACTATTCAGTATTAATACTTTATCCTGTAAGAAAGTTTGAATTACTACATATTTCAAGTACATTTATTATCATTATTTTTGTTTTCTTTTATAATCTGTATTATACTTAGGCCCTCCTTATCCATTGGGCTAAATGGGCTATAGCATCTATAGCTCAGGGCTATGGAGCCATTGATCCAAAGGCTCTAAGAACCAAATATGTTGAAATGTTTTTTCTTCTTTCTTTTAATTTTAGATGCAAAAATCTCTGATTTGAAATGTTGTCAAAATTAAACAAAAATATTATTAGAATTCTTTATACAGCAAACTAAGAAAATTATTAACTTTTTAAAATTTTAATAAATTGCTTGATTGCTTTTCTAAATAAAATAATTCATAATTATTTAAAAAATTGCTGACAAAATATGCAATTTCATTTTTGTCTGCACCACTGGTATTTTATTACATACTGTAGATGTATTTATACTCAAAAATTAACATAGTCTGCATGCTTAATTAGTGCATTCATTTTACATATGTATCATAATTCAATATAAATATTGTTTCTAGTGTCTTGTTAATATTACAAATTACATTCATCTTTACAAACATACTGTGATGTGTTGTGAATACTTGACTATTTGTGAATTGTGATTATTATAAATATATTGACATTATGTTTGTGTACAACATTTATAGGATGTTAATATTTATGATGTAAGTATTTTGGTTTTTTATATACAATATATATCCCGCAAAACTTACCTGTACAAGCAAACAACTCTAGTAAAACCCGATACATTATAATACTAAAGCCACTGTCATATGCCATCAGGTTATAATACAAATGGCTATAATACAATAAATTAAAATGGCTATAATACAATAAATTAAAATGGCTATAATACAATAAATTAAATTTATTTTATTGTTATAACTAATAGCCAAGGATAAAATAAAAAGTTTTAAATATCAACTTTTTTCTACTTGGTTGTTGCGCGAGGCCCCTCCAAGAGCGAGGCCCCGGGCGATTGCCCTGCTCGCCACCCCCTAAGGCCGCCACTGCCACCAAGAATTTGCATTTATGTTTTTAAAGTATAATTGATAAAATTTGATTACAAACTATATTATAATAATATTAATCTAATACTTAAGTATTTTTAATATGTAATAACCAATATTAGTTAAGAGAATAAATTATTTTTAAAATTACACATAATAATAAAACATTTTTTAATTATAAGTGTTTATTTAGAGTTTTTGAAACACTTTCTAAATTATACAGTTTTGAGTACAAAATGATTTTTATTTTGTTTATATGATATTTGTTAGCATTTAATTACACACTATTTTACTAAATTGCATTCTAAATTATTCACTAATTAAAAAATCAATTCAAAAACAAAAAAAGAACATACTTGAGTATCCAATGTAAACTTTAATAAAGAATGTTTAATAAAAAGACAAATTAAAGAAACAAAAAGTAAACTTTATTTCTTGTTAAAATAATATTGGGTCATACGTTAGTTAATGTTGAAATAATAAATGTTAAAGGATTTTGCATGTTTAGTGAAGTTAAGGAATTCTGTAGTAACAATGTATTTCTGGTAGTTTCATTCCATGCATCTCTTGGATGTATTATAACAATTTCATTCTGTAATTATTGATACACTTTTAGCAGAAATAAACAAACAGAAATCTGCATATTATCATATAACGTTCAAATTTGGATTTTTATTCAATTTAGAAAATTGCAATGAACTGATCATTTGATAACAGACAACTTTCTTATAGAAAGTTATATAAAGTTAAGAATAAAGTTAAGAATATTTAGTTGATTTCAAAACAGGATTACTTATTATTATTATTAAGGATAATAGAAAAATGTTTTTAAGTACAGAAATTTATTAACTGATGAGATACTATCAGTCATACAAGAATTTACTTCTATAGTATGCCAATATCTTATAATAATAATAAAATTTTTACTGTCATCATTTAAACTCGTAATGTCAACAGTAAAAATTTTATTATTATTATGAGATACTATCAAAAGTTGAATGTATTCTAAAAATAATTGAGTTGCAAATCAAATGCACATTCTCAAATATAACAACTGCTGTGCAATTATATTTAAGTATTGCTTGCACCAATTATAGCAGAGAAAGATCATTTTCTACTTTGAAACAATTTAAAAATTATATGTTATTGTTATTAGGACAATCCAAATTAAACAATTAAGTATTCTATCCATAGAATATGATATATGTATTAGGAAGGATAGTTCATAGTGAAATTAAAAATAGATTTGCAGAATGCAAATGTTACAAAAAAAGTTTTTAAGCTTTATACTATTGTGTGTGTTTTTATAACTTTAAATAAATTCAAATATAATAAACTACCTTTATTATATTATAAATATTGTTGAATTAAAGAAAAATGTGCAATGTCAATATGTTTTAAAATAAAATTTTTAGCAATTAAAGTTAAATAATACGTATAATTAATTAAATAAATAATTATTGCTCAATCAATGTGATTTAAGACACCAAATTTTTTTTAGCCCAAGGCATTCAAACATGTTAATTAAGATGGCCTTGATTATACTTTTATCAGAATTCAGTTGATATTCTAGTTACAATTCTGGATGTCAATTTTTTCATAACTTCACCTAGAAATAAACTTTCTCACTTAAATGACCTTATATTATATAACCTAAAGGTCACAAATAATTGAGGTTTTGCTATAATTTTATTTAAAAATTTTAAAATTCTTTATCAAATAGTTATAATATTAATATGTATTATTTTATAAAATTAATTGTATAACTATAATTCCAAAAACTAAAACTTAAGTGTTTTTTGCTTGAAGACTATTTTCTATCAGTACCAACTTCAAGGGATTTATGATATAGTCAGTTAACAATTAAAAAAAACGTTTATTATAAATTTCCTCCTTATCCAATTTTGCCAGTATAATCAGGCCTCATCAGTAGATAATGATACTAAGTTACATCAGTGTTTTTATAGTTGACAGAGTTATCCCAACGTGCATCAACAGACATTCCTGTATTCAAATTTATGTTGTTTACATATTTCTTAAAACCATAATATTCTTTTACATGATATTTAGTTGTTTTCTTTATACAGAATTTTAATGCTTTATAAAATGCTTTTAATATTTCTTAATGCCATAATGTTCTTTTACATGTAAGAAGTTTATACAGAATTTTAATAATATTTTTATCAATTTTACAATTAAAAATACTGCAATGTTGATACCATGGAGATTCTCTATATTTTAGATGTATAGTCACTTCATGTTCTCTAAGTCTCTTCTCTAGTTTACACTTGGTTTTTTCTATATAACATTTAGGTTGAGGACATGTGCAGGACTGTTTGTACACAACCCCTGCAATATTTAATTGATCTTGTTCCTTTTCTTCTTTATTAAGAATAAAATTCTTTACATTAGACAACTTATTTTTTTTTGCCAGGCTATAATATGAACAAACATCATTAAATTGACTTTTGTATTTTTCATATAAACAGTTTATATATGGGAAAAGAACATACTGATACTTTGTTTTTTCATTTTTTACTTTAAAAACATTGATGTAACCTAGTATCATTATCCACTGATGATTATACTGGCAAAATGCATTTGGATAAAGGAGAAAAACTATAATAAACATCTTTTTATTTGTTAACTGTCTATATCGTAAATCCCTCGAAGTCAGCGCTGATAGTGTTTTTTGCTCGAAGACTATTTTTTAAGTTTTAATTTTTAGAATTATAGTTATACAATTAATTTTATAACCAATCCCATTGCTTAGCTTAATTTTTATATTTTAAATGTATTATTTTACATATTTAATATTTATTATTTTAGATGATACCATTAATATTTTAATATTAATAATTTGGTTGCAATCTGTAAAAATTGTAGATCTATAAATACCCAATGTAGTCCACCTGTCTGTCTGTTGTCTGTCCTTCCTTAATCTTGAGAACAGTGTTAGATAGATGAAAGTTGAGACCAGATATGAAAAGTTTAGGGACCAGGAGACCCTGATTAACTATGTACAAACTTCTGATCTAGATCAGAAGTTATGTGATTTCAATTCAAAAATTTTCCTCAGAACAAAGTTACATAGATGACTGACAAGATTTTGTTGTTATCAGGAAAGTATGATGTATAGGGCAAGACACTACTAATTTGAGATTGAGAGCATACATTTTAAATTAAAAATATGATTAAAATTGACAGCCTGGAATTTGTGACAATGTTGCAATAATTTTTGCTTATTCATTAATTAAATTTTTCTTAATATTTTAAATTTTTATAGTGAAACAGATAATCAAAGTACATCAGGAGAATCTTGGTCTGATATTAAACCTTATTTAAATGTAAATGGCCATTTAACAGGACCAGTCTCTCATGGGAAATATGGGCCAAAGGTATTTTTAGATTTATTCTTAAATTTATATTACGCAGAAAATAAAAGTAGTATTTTGGATCTAAATGAATTTAAGTTCAAATTACATTTCCAATTTCTTTAAATTAAAATTTGTATCATATTTTATTTTTATGGTCTACATTAGGTAGAACATAAAAAATTTCATTTTATTTCAAATTTAACATCAGATAATAAATTATTTTTAAAGCTAAAAATATTACTGAAATGAACTTGCATAACTTACCACACTTTTCCAGTAGTAAAAAACATTTTAATGTCTGAAATGCAAATGTTTTAAACTTGTGATGTAGAGAAGAATGTTTAAAAATGTTCCAGAATTTAAAATTTCAGCTTTTAATCAAATCTTCTGTAGAAACCTGATGCTGGCCCTTAAATGAGGCCAAATATCTGAAATTCAAACTTTACATTTCAGATATTAAAACATTTTTACTGCTGGATAAGTGTAGAAGGTTAATGTGAGTTCATAGCATCAGATAATCTAGCAAGACTTTCAAGTAGAATACTAACAAATTTTAATGTCTTTTCTAATTTATATAATTAAAGTTTTAAATACAGTAGGTACTGTACATAAAGCATTAAAATCATATATATATATATATGTATGCTTAAATATATTTGTGTATTTGTGTAGATTAAGGAAAAAGTTACATTTACAAAATGTAACAGAAAAAAATATAAGTTTGAACAAAACTTTCACAGATTAATTAGAAAGAATTTATATATATAACTATAACTATCATCATCTGTCAATAAATTTTTGAGAAAATTATTTTTATTAATCAAAATTTTCTCAAATTATTTATAAACATTTAAAACAGGTTAGAACTAAATACTAAATATATATATAAACAGGTTAGAACTAAATACTAAATTTATATACAGTGGTACCTCAGGATACGAAATTAATCCGTTCCGAAACTGAGATCGTATCATGAAAATGTCGTAAGGTGGATCATCTTTTCCCATACGATTACATGTAAAACCAAATAATTCGTTCCAACGCAAAAAACATACTCAAATTAAAGCCAAGTAATACATTAAAAAAACAAATGAAAAATGCGAATTAATGTAACGTCGTATGGTGAGTTTTTGTTCGTATCGTAGAGCAAAAATATGTTTGAATTTCATGTCGTATCCTGAAAATTTCGTATGCTGGGGCGTTCGTAACCTGAGGTACCACTGTATATATTTTTTATTCTAATTGAAAATTTCTTAAAACTTTTGTGTAAATACTGTAAAAACATTTTATTTATTTGAAAAAATTGAATTAAGTTTTTAATTGTAGTTTTTAATTTTTATTTTTTTATTAAAGAAGAGTATAATGTCTAAAAAAGTATTAATGTTTCTTTTACTATACTACAATAAACAAAAATTTAAATGTATTCAATAAAACTTGTATAGTAATTTTTTTTGGAAACCATAATGGAGAGATTTTCTTTGTATATTCAATAAAACTACTACATAAGTTTTATTATATTTAAAATATATTCAATAAAATTTATGTACTAGTTTTATTGAATATACAATGAATAGGAAGTGAGGAAAAAAAGAAAAATTTAAGTATGTTAATTATATTTAAACTTTTGATTAGTAATAAAAACTGAAAAATCCTTTAAAGTTGATTAATATCTCAATTTTTTTTAACATTTTTTTAATTTGCTGTTATAGAAATAACAATTTTTCAATGAGATTTTTAAATAATGTGGGTTTATCATGTACAGATTTAGTTTAAAAATATTGTTGCATGGATGAGAGGTGAACAACAATGACAAGTCGTTTGTGAACATGAAAGAATTTTTTATTACTCCACAGAATGTACTAACTCTGCAGCGTGCAGTACAAGAACTAACTCTTAGTCAGATAGCTTGCGCTTTTATCACACAGGAGCACATTCGTGAAACATTCCAATGACAGTTAATTAACATACATGAACTTTCTCAAAGATTTGAGAAAGTAAACATAAAAGAGCAAAAACAAATTTACAATTGTGCAGGTTTGAACCAGAAACCTTCCAATTCATAGACTGAGAGGATAACCACTGCGCCATGGTGTTTGACGGTTGACAAATGAAATGTGGCAGTATAAACTGAAGATATAGAATTGTTAGTAATTTCATAAAATAGCTTGAAATAACATCAGAAGTCATATTAAATCTTTTAAGAGAATAATTTTTTTGGGAGTAGATTATATAATTTGATAGAATATAAAAATACTTGGAAATAAATAATTACAAAATTTTTAAAATCTGAATTAAAACAATTGTTAATATCATTATTTCCAGACTGAATTAGAATCAATGATAGATAAAGCAATTGATGAAGGAGATTTTGAAAAAGCAGAACAACTTAGTGATCATCTTTCCAATAGAGAGGTAAATATATATTTACATTTTATAATTGAGATTATAACAATATTAATTGTTATATTAATTAATTGTTAATTAGTTTAATTTTTCATTATGGAAATGTGGCCCATGCTCTTTTGCATTTAATAATGAAAGATATATTTAAATGCCATAAAAAATATTGGATTGATATAATTTGTGCATATATGAATTCTTTTCAATGTAAGGTTATATTAGTTGAATTAATTGACTTTACATTAATTTATATTGAACTATTTGAGATTTAGTTTCATAAAATGAAATTTTGTTATCATTAACATACCTGATAATACAGGAAAAAAATCTACTAAATTGCTTAGATTATCTATACTAAAATTTTGTTTTAGAAAATCAATTAGCCTTCATTCATATGTACTAACAGAAATGCTTTAAAACTGCTTTAATAATGCTTTAATTTCAACTGTCTTAATTGGTCATCATTAGGTTCTAATCTACAATACTGTATTTTTTTAAATAAATATATTCAGTTCATATTATACATTAATTTCCTGTAGCTATTTAAATGACAATCCACAGCAGGATGACAATACACAAGTGGTCATCCGGAGTTCTACGCTCACTCCACCTAATACAGACAATGACCACAACTTCACCTCCATCGAGGTTTTTGCTCACTGATAACAAAGCCCTATGTCTTGACAGCATAACCACTAGGATAATAAAACATGCATTTGAGGCCAATCCTACAGCATTTGTAATTCTCTTCAATATCTGCTTGACACTGACTGGCCTTTTTCCTACTCATTGGAAAAAGGCTAGTGTCAAATTGATTCCCAAAGCTACCAGTGCTAACACTTACAAAAAATACAGACTGATCTGTCTTCTCCCAACCCTGGGGAAAGTGTTAGATGGTATGGTCTAATGATTAATAGGATTACTGCATCTATGCAAGCATAGAGCCCTTCATCAGAATCAGTTTGGCTTCTCTAAAAACAAAGGTACAGTAGATTCCATCCATTGGGTCATTAACTACATCCACCATGCTAAACAAAACAATCAGCATACCACAATTATCACTATTGACTTTAGAGGTGCCTTCAATCATGCCTGGTGATATTTTATCCTGCACACATTATATGCTCATCACTGCCCTCAAAATCTTTACAAACTTCTTCAGTCCTATCTTAGCAATAGGAGTGTAGGTCTTTTTTTTTCATTTCATTTTTTTATTTAGTATTTATTCGTACATTAAAATAACATGCACATCCTGGTCCTGCTTTTGCATTACCAGGGTTATAAGGTTACAAATACAATTAGAAGACACTAGTTTTACATAATTGAATTTCATAAATTTTACATAAAATTTTAAAATTTAAACTAAGTAAAAGTGAGTGTAAAATTATCCTAATTAATATTAAGTTAAAAGTAACATTTTGTATTAAAGTAATATGACAGAAAAACATTATACATTAACAGAGAATTGATAATAAAAGTACTTAACATCAAAATAAATTTAACTTAACACTAAAAACTTAATGTATTAACTTAAACTAACAACTGAACTACCACAATACAGTCCTTTAGTTATGTGTGGGAGTGAAAAGTGGTGAAATTTTTTGCACAGTCTTTCGAAGGCACAATACACACACTCACTTTTGAAAAAGTCAGATGGGGCACATGGCCAGTCGATATTCAGTTCTTGTAGGAGTAGTATTAGCTCCAACCGTTCATTTTCTAAAGTGACGCAGTTATAAAGGTAATGAAAGAAATTGTCTTCTACTTGACATGTAGGACATAAAGGAGAAACTCAATTGGTGAATCTGCAAAGATAACTTGCGAACTTACCATGATTGGTAAGTATCTGTGAACTGTAGAAATTAGGAGAGAACCAGTGTAGAGTAGTGAGATAAATCAGATTAGGTATAAATTTTGCTGTGTGATTATTATTGATGTTCCATTGGATTTGCCATTCATATAAGGTGTCTCTCCAAAGTTCCTGTCGGATGGTTTTCTTGCTAATTTTGCTGTAGGTAATAGGGATTATGTCATCCTCTGCAGCCATTTTAGTGAGGGTATCTGCTTGTTCATTTCCATGAAGTGTAGGTGTTTATACAACACAAAATAACAGTCATACCCAGCACTCGAGGCTGTCCTCAGGGATCCAGGTCTGGTCCTGGTCTCTGGAACAAAGCCTATAACTTTTTCCTGCACTTAAACAACACCCTGCCTCCTGGCTGCTGCATACAGGGCTATGCGGACGACACAATTATCCTAGCTTCACATAGTGAACAGTAAACGCTTACAGGACATATGCAACAATATTCTCAATAACATTCACCAGTGGAGTATTAAGCATAGGCAACCCATTAACACAGACAAATGTGAAAGCATGATAGTTGGTAGGAACATGCCACTTGTCAGGAAGCTGACCCTTCGAATAGGTGCTTACAGAATAAAGCAAAAACAGAAATTAAATATTTAGGTGTTATTCTTGACGAGAGACTTAATTTCACACTCCATATCAAATACATCACAGACAAAGCTAAAAAGATGGCCAACGCTCTCATTAGTATTGCTAGGAACACATGGGGCCTTGGCCCTAATGCTACTAAGCTTATTTACATGGGTGCAATTCAGCCAGCACTCCTCTGTGCCATTCAGGTCTGGGCCCATGTGGCCGCCAAAGTCCATAACCATAAAAAACTGTTATTCATTCAAAGGATTGCAGCTCTCTGTATTTGTAAGGCTTATAGAACCTCACCCACTAGTGCCTTTTGGCAATATTAGGATTGACCCCTATCAACTTAGAAATTAAAAGCATTATTTGGCAGGAAAATATCATCACCTTACCCTGGCGAGACTATAGCAACTCGGATGTTGACAAAATATTTAGAGTAGGTAAGATTTCCCCAGTTTGACCTTGATCGATGATATAAAAAATTCAGCATCAACAAAAATATCCTCCCAACTTACAATTACCAACCCTCCCATTAGCTTGCCCCTGATCTTCACTTCGAAGATCAGGTGATCATCCCATGTTTAGGATTTATACTGACAGCTTCAAGATGGATGACAATGTGGGTGCTGCTTTTGTAGTTTACTTCGACTTAGGCCACAAGCTTCACAATGCTTGTTTCCATCTAGATACACACTGCTCAATAGCACAGGTGGAAACTTTAGCTATTTATATGAGCTTAATTCACATTAGGCATAGGAAGGACAACAGACACTACTTACACTATTGCATTTATTCTGATAGTAGGGTAGCTTTACACAGGATTGCGAAGTCTGATAGTCGCTTAAAACTCATCCATCTCATACACCACATTCTCAGACACTTAGACAACAACATTAGAATAGATTTCCAATGGGTCTGAGGTCATGTAGGGTTCTCAACAATGAGACCACTGAGTGTCTTGCCAAACAAGCCTTAATGTCTTCAGTCACTAGTCCTTTCAGTTACATTCCTACCTCGTACATCAACAATCACATCAAGAAGCAAATCTTCATTTTCTGGCAAGAAAGCTGGGACCATGACACCACTGGTAGGCTCACCTACACTTTTATCTTCAAGGTTGACACTACTGCGATTCTTCACCACTTTTACCCTAGTTACACCCTCACTCAGCTGCTTACAGGACATGGCAACTTTAAGCAATACTTGCATAGATTTAACCTTGGGGACAATCCACAATGTGGTTGTGATATTCAGGAGGACCAAACAACACTTTACTTAGTTTTTGCTGCAATAGATACAATTACGTTAGGGATAATTTAATGAGAGCTGCTATTCTTGATGAGTACAACTGGCCTTTCAACCCACACAAACTCATTCACACACGTACAATGTTCCATCATCTACTTGCATTCATACTCCTTAGTGGGACTCTTGAGAGCACTCACTCCAGGGGAAGATGGCAATTAGCTTTCCCTTGCTTTGTTTCAACTGTCAGTATATACAGTAGACCCCCTTATAACGTGGTAGATACGTTCCTCATTATACGAATTTCATGTTGTAGGAATCCTTAAATATATGAGTCAATCACAGCCCGACACGTGTGAAGTTTACAGACTACAGCTGTTTGAAAGGTTTTCTTCCATAAAATGAATCGATTCTAGACTAATTCGACTTAACATTTCCAAAATACATATAATTTTTTGGGAATAATCTGTATAAACTATGCTATAAACAAAAAATTGTAGGATTACTTACCGAGTGTGCATCGTTCGACGTCGCCATTGCTTAAGCTTGTGTTCGTCACGGAGCAGCGCACCAAACGGCGGCCGCGATTTCTGATGTTATTTTTCTGCGAAAAATTTGTTGAACTTTGGAGACATCATTAACAGAAATAATTTTTATGGCCGTTGAATAAGAAATGTTTCTTTCACAAGAAATGTATAAAATTACAGTGCTGTATTAGACTTACGGTACCTAATTTACATACTGTACAGACG